GTATGTATATAAATGACAAGATAACAAAAACAATAACAAAGCAATTGCCTGCAATTGTGCCACATGCAACGCGCCTACTTATATGTAGTGCATACTCAACTATGCATGTTGTCTGAGATTTTGTTGCAAGCTTGTGCGTACGTGTATACATCTGCAAATATCTGCGCTAAGTGCTGCCACATTGTGACCATGAAAAGCGATTCGTGCGGCCGGCCGTCCATCCGTTCATACGTTCGAGTGTGCGCACCAATGACATACGATGATACGCGTTGGGGCGGCTGCAACTTGTTGTTATCTACCTTCTTGCTGCATGCCAGTCATGAATGTACGCAAACACACGCACACACACACACACATGCGCGCAGAAACGTACATATGTATGTACTTAACTAGCTATAGGCATGCAGGAATACTAGAATCTCTTGTCCTATGGTCATCATTGACTTCCACGAATCCATTCATTCATACAAAATGTGTGGGGTGGCTTTGTTGTGGCAGAGTCGCTGCCCTCCGCACTTGTGCCTGAATATGAGCGTGGCGCGCACAGCTGCTAAGTGAGTGCGAATAGTTTAGATGTTGTGCTATCTGTACACCTTTTTTTTCTACTTATTTTTTGGTTAGTTACTTATTGCTAGAAATCTTGCTGAGTGAACATCTGCCGCCTGTGGAATTTACAGCATGAGTAACCTGCCACTTGTAGCAACAAGTGGTGATTGTGCGCGTGTGTATTGATACATCATTTACCTGTTTTCCTCTATCAATTCACCCAACCGTCTTCTCATCCACATTTAACAGCCATTCATTCTGTTTTTCTACGGCTGGCGCCCATTCATGGATTGTCTTTTACGATGTTATTACTAATATTGAATGTGGCAGTTTTTCTTTTATGATCTTAGAGTGGTTTGTGAAGAAAGCTACATACTATTTAATTGTTGGGAGCAGGTGGCGCTAAGTCGAAAGGAAATCAAATCTAGCCCTATTGGATGCTATTTAGATCTCTTCAGATATTTATGCACATAAAACTTATAAGTATACCGGGTTCCTAGACCACACGTCCACTCCTTCTAAAATGGTTGAACATTTTTTTTTTTATTGGAAAACTTTGAAAATTTTAAAATACCAAGTCGGTTTAAAATACCAAATGGGACATACAGTGGCGGTCAAAAATGGATGAATGGTGCTTCGTTTTTCATATTTACAATGTTTTTCAAGCTAAATTTTTTTTTTATTTTTTTATAAAAATATGGTTCATGCTTTAACAAAAAAAAAATCAATAAATTTTTATTTAAATTTCGAGCTTTTTAACCAGATTTTTTTTTTTAATTTTTTGGGTGTGCAGTTTATAGGATTATAAAATTTTAGTAAAATTAGTACAGGTTTCGAGCGGCTAAAAAATCGCATTGATTTTTAATAATTTTTTTTTTGCTGACGGCTTTTTCGGCTTTTTTTCATATAAAAAGCGAAATTTAGGAAAACTAGCTTTGGCTTTTTTTCGCAAAAAGTCTGGCGCATATTCTTCCACAAAAAATTCATGTTTGAAGTCATGTTTTTTCTAAATTCCGTTTGAAAGTGTGATTTATATGGGTTTTGTTAAAGCTTGAACCATTTTTTTATAAAACAAGCAAATTTTAGCGTGAAAAACGTTGTAAATATTAAATACGAAACACCATTCGTCCACTTTTGAGCGTCAATGTATGTACATTTTTTTTTACCACAGAATCGGATTCTGCGAACAAAAATACGTAACTTTTATTGGAAACTTTTTTCTGGAATGGACACACGGTTAAAAGGATGGACTTCCAGTCTGTTTAACCCGCTTTAAGTTCTGTGGCAGCAAAGTCGATAGGTTTATCAATTGATATAATTACAGGTCAACAGGTTACAGCGTTTATCACACCAGCGCTAACTACTGTTGTCAGGCGAGCTGCTGCAACGTCTATCACCTACGGTCGTTTGGCAGGCTTGAACGCTTGAGTCCCTGCGGTCGATGTCTGCTTCGATGAGACGGTGTACATTGTATCCTTTTACAATTAAAATTTGCCCAACACTGGTTGTGTTGTGCTCCTTAACAGGAAGCTTTTGGGCCGCGTGATTTAGGTGGCGTTGTGGCGACATCAGAAGAGCATCCCTTGGCGACCTGGAGTGCCGTGTTTTGGCAGGTCTGTAGCTTCATCCACTGCATCCTGCTATAGCCTGGCGACCACACGCGCGCTGCATAGTTTAGAAGCGGCTGTAGTCTGATCTCTTTCGGCCAGGTGGTAAAAAGGGGTCATCGAGGATTTCGTAGGGACGAGGGGTAGGCTTCTTGCAGTGAAGAAGCGAAAGAGTTCGGAGAGGTAACCACTTACCCTCGAGCTCATGTCATTATTTCGATTCCCAGACGACATTATCGAGCAGTCGTAAGCATAAGTGACAATCGAGACTTCCTCTGATGGTTGAGGGAGCTTTGAAAGGTAATAATTAAGCAGCAGTGGGGAAAGCACACCACCCTGTGGGTCCCCTTGTTTAATTTTTCTCGGTTTACTGGTTTTGTCTCTGAAAATTACTGACGAATGTCGACTCAGATAATTCGCCGACCACCGTTTGAGTCCCTGCGGGAGAAAGGAAGCCTCAATGTCTTCTAGTAGCGTGAAGTGGCTGACGGTATTAAACGCCTTTGGCATCTCCAACGCTACCAGGACTGTTCTCTCACAGGGGCAGTGTCGGTTAAGGCCACGGGTTATATGTGCGTTTATGGCGTTAAGTTTTGTTATTTTACTGTGCACCTTACGGAATCCATGCGGATGCCTCGCTGGGGTCTGGCGGTTTGTGTAGTGCGGGAGTACCCTCAAGTGTCTTCGCTACAGGGGAAAGCAGGGTTATCGGGAGATAAGACTCCATTGTTGGCGGGTTTCCCCGGCTCAAGCAGTGGGACCACCCTCCCCATTTCCCAGATGTCCGGAATGATGAGGGTGGCCATAGACAGTTTGAATACCTTGGTAAGGTAGTCAACTTCCGCTGGACCCAATTTTTTCAGCATCAGCATGCATATTCTGTCGGGACCTATGGCTTTGGAAGCTTTCGCATTCCCGATGGCTACTTGAACCTCACCGCTGGTCAAAATAAGAGGCGCACTGCGAGTTGGCAGTTTGTCCAGCGTTCTGGTCACTCGACGTTTGGCTTTGTCCGCCGGAGGATGCAGTGTAAATTGTCGGCTAAAATAGCTCGCGCATCGCTCCGGGACCGACGAGGCGCGGTCGCCGAAAAAGGTTTCAACTCTCTCGTTGCACCTCGCCGGATCGGGCATTGACCTCCCGGTCGTTGTTGGCGAAGTTTTAAGTCTACAGATGCTCCGCCCACTTCTTCCGTATATGGAGGTTTACGAGTTGCCAAATCTCCGTGCTGCAATCCCTAATGCGGGGATTTCCGGGATCGGCCTGGCAAAGGCTATCACGCTCATCCGATAGTATAACTGATTCAGCTGAAAATTTGGGATATATCCAGCAATCGGGCTGCAGCAGCAGTGACAACTTTGCGGAATTTACGTTCACCAGAATGAACCAGCTTCGCTAAAGGGTACGTAGATTCGGCGTCCCGCGGAAGCAAAGTTAGCAGGTTTATCAATCGAGATGACCATATGCAGAGGGTCTGATGCTAGAGTCAGTGTGATATCCCGCCGAGCAGCAGAGGGTGTATAAACATTAAATATTTCGAGCAGAGGCGTGCTGGTGTTAGAGCAAAACAAAAAGCAAGCAACCCCTCTGTCTAGTGCTTATCAGATTTCCGCTTCTGTTTTCGTTTTCGATTTTATTTTTCGTTTTGCTTTTCGCCTTTTCGTGGACGACTGGTGGCTTCTGGCTCGGTGTGGTGTATTCCTTCGATCACTACTCCGAATTTCTGATGAAGAAAAACTCACGCAGGAAATGCGCCTTCTCATTGAAATACGTCCTTCTTCTAATGGAACCTTGTAGAAAAATTTAAACATCTGAAATTTTAAAAGCATCAATTTTTATTTATCATTAATATTAAGGTAACTAGGTATATGTACTGTGCTGCTCTTAGATATTTATGTAGATACTTATATGACTAGATTAAAAGAAAAATTTGAAAAAAGAAAACTAACCAGGCAGGTTCTGAAATTCACTTTCGAGTGAATTTCAATCAAACTCGCTTTGAATTCAAACTGGCAGGGGTTGAAATTGACTCGGAAGTGCATTGCAGAGTGCATCTGCCTAAACATTAGGCTTATTTCTACTTTTAATATATAAAGGTGATAAACATATCCCTGCCAGCAATTGGAAGAGAATTTTATCGCCTACCGCCCCGATTCAGTTCTTCGTCACTATTGGAAGTTATTAAAGCGATAGTAACTAATTTCACAAAAAGAAAAAACATTTCTGCCGCTTTTCGATCTTCTTAACAGGTGCTCAGACGATTTTTACTCTTTGATGTTTTAAAAATGAACAAGGCAAATCTTGGAAGTTCAATCAAATAAAATTACTTACATACACTGCCGGAACAAGGTATTGGCACAGCAAATTTTTCACAATATATGCAACAATTTTTATTCTAATATTTTTCCGCCAATTTTTTATAAAAATATGGTTCATTCTACAACAAAAAAAAAGAAAAATATAATTCCTAAACTTTGTGCAAATTCGCGAAAATTCAGCAAATTTTCATGCAAATTTTCAACTTTTTAATCAGATTTTCCAGAATGAAAAAAATGTCAATGGCTGCTTAAAACTTGTGTTTTATTATAATAAAATTGATTGGGCTACAAATCTGCATACTCAAAAAAGTTTGGGAATTATATTTTTATGGTTTTTGTTGTAGAATGAACCAAATTTGTATACAATACTGGCGGAAAAATATTAAAATAAAAATTGTTGCATATATTGTGAAAAATTTACTGTGCCAATACTTTGTATCGGCAGTGTATTTATTTTCAAAATTTTTTATTTTTATTTTTCATTTGACGTGCATAACGTGCATCATATTCGAATAACAAACCAAAAAAATTACGTTCAAATTTTAAACAGATGCGTTATTCGATTTATTATGTTATTGACTTTTTACCATACAATTTCGCAACTGCTTTTTTAAATATTTAGTTGGAATTTCATGAAATATACATCCGTACATAGGTGCGTTAGAGCTAGTAATCTAAGCTGAAACAGGATGAAAATGGCATAAGTGACTCTGCGGCTGTGGTTGCAAACTCAGAGGTATCCCGAATTTCCTATTGCGTTTTATCAAAAATTTAACCAACTGAAGAATCTTCTTTGATACTCTACACTTTATCGCATAAGTTACTGTCATTCCTATCGAAATAGTTCCTAATTGCTGTATAGCTTTCGTATCATAAAGACGTGACGTCTTGGTGGAATAGTTCTTCCCGAGAGCGAATAAAAATTCGAAAAAATAGCGATATCACCGGCGATGATTTTCACAGAAATGTCGTATCCAATTAATAACTTCCGCAATAGAAAATATAGAAAATGCTGGCAGAGATTATGCACTAATGGTTTTGTATAAATATAACGAAGCGTATGTTTATGTTTCCAGTTCCTCTTCTTCCATCGGTGCTCCATCTATTTCAGCATCAGCTAAAATTTCTGCCTTGTTCAGTGCTTCTAACGTGTTTCGTTTAACCATGTTTTGTAACCCAAGTGGTAAAGAAAGCGTTGCACGATATATAGCATCAAAAAAACTACGCAAGCACATTTCTTTTTCAGTCATATTTTCTTCATTGATTGCCGGAATATCCATTAACACATTTTCGGCAGGCGTCTGTGTCCCAGCAGATGAGCTGACAGCCGCGATTGTTATTGCCGTTGAGTTCTCTTTAGATGATATTTTCCTTTCACTTTTGCGTAGAACGATTGGTTTCGCCAATTCAATAAGTCTTTCCAATTCGGGGTCGCTATTTTTATCTCTAAATGGCGCAATAAAATGCATGTCGCTGTAGTAATTCCATTTGCTGGCTGCATCAGTAGTTTGCTCCTGTGGTAGTGAAATCTCATTCTCTTCATAATGGGTACGTACAAATCGTAATACTTCATTGCGATAGAACTTCATAAAAGAAGCATATAGACCGTTCCAAGCTTGTTTAGCTTCCGCTCCTGCAAGGAATGTTTTTGAAATTCATTGTATTGACAAGAAAAACCAACTTACCATCCTTATAATCGCACTCGAATGCCACGATTTCCCATGTTCTACGTTTTAAATTTTCATCTTTGTATAAGGCTTGTCGAAAATCATATAAATATTCATTGCTTCGCACTGCATCTATCAGCGACAACAATTGTGGATCCTTTTTCGGATCCTTGTTTAGTGACATTTTTTTACCTTCCAGTAATTTGTCTCAAAACTAGCGAACTTCAATATGCATTAACCATTTCATACATATGTATATGCAGATATAAGATTGAAAACAGAAAATTAGTTTATTCACGAAGTATAAACGCCGGCAATAAACAAAACCATCAGCTGATAAATAAATTAGGGATGTCGGAAAACATAGATGCATCGAAAATATCGATGTTTTGCTGCGATACATCGAAAATTTCCACTCGATGTATAAATAGTCGATGTATCGATGCATCGATGTTTTTTTTTTTAACTGACATCTGTACTACATTGAACCATCATTCCAGCTTTTTAATTATATAAAAAAGAGAAGTGACTTTGACCGAAAAATTTACATGGGTCCAAAAAGTTCCGTTAGCAACATAATTAGCTTAGTTGCGGTAATTCATCTCTAACTTTGTACAATTTTGCTAATAATATTTTTTGTTGTGAAACTCTATCTGAAAAATCCTATGCAAATCTATGCATCGATAAATATCGATGTACATTTCGATGCATAGATCATGATCATGTGCATAGATAAGAAAAACATGTATGTATTTTTCACTGGCATCTCTAAAATGAATTTAAAGGGCGTGTCAGATGAGCGAAAGTGTTGCCAGATATCCCTTTTTCCGCCCAAAATTGGTCGGTTGAATTACTTTGGTCGGTTGGACGGTTAAAACAAATTTGGTCGGTTTTGTGATTAATTTATATCTGTAGCGCTTTTTTTTTACATATGTACATAGTACGTTCGAATATTTTTTTGTATTGAAAAATTATAACACCATCCGCAAAAAAATAAAAAAATAAAGAATCCACGCGAATTCTTAGCCATTTGAAACTTGCACTTTCTCACGCTAGAATTTAATGGTATAAAAATGCATACTTAAAATTTTTCTAAAAATTCTTATTAAAAAGTTTGTTGATTTTTTCTCATTTTTCTGCGAAGTTTAAAATTTGAGCTTATATGGTTTTTGTTAGATAATAAGTTGTGTTTTAATAAATAAAATAAATAAACATTAAGGAAACAAAAGAAAAATAACCAAAACTGCTCAAAATGTGGTGTCCCTATTATTTTTCACATAACTGTAAATTTATAATAAAAGCAAACAAAACTCTATACCTTTCTACATATTTGCTTGCCCTCATGTAAATCTGATATAATGTTTGTGAAGCACATCGCAAACACGACGTATACAATTTTCTAATGCGGTATTCCAACTACAGCTTCATTCGTAATGCGCTCACTCACTTAAAATTGGCTAAACAATGATGAACTGAATCACTTAATTCGCCAAACAAATGTTTGGTAGTGAATTACTTCATTCGTATGTAATTCAGGGCTCGAATCGTTACATACGATATCGTATTACTCTTCACTTAAAAACACATTTCTCGGGATACGACAGGCGTGAACGTACTCTTTATTCCATTTAGCTTATACGACTGACATATCACGTACTTTTCTTTCGTATGATTTTCGATCCGTGAACGGGTGTTACAATTCGAGCCCACATTCAATTTCCATGCGAATTACAAACAAATCATTGCCGTCCCAAATTTTTTTGGGAAATTTCTAAAACTCAGCTGTTAAAGCAAGACAATAGAAAAAAGCAAAGCAAAGAGAGAGAGAGAGAGAATTATGGAAAAAAACAACAATGAACCGTCAAATCGAATAACACAGGACAATGCTCGAAATTAATCGAACAACTTAATTGACAGTGCAAGTGGCAACTTAAGGGGTCTTCCCTTAAACTTGTACAAGCCTCACAAACTTCGAAAAACTATGTTCACATATCAATATTATCTCAATCAAAGCTTGTTTTTTAATCACCCCATTTACACAGGCAAATCTCAGATTATAAGCCGTTAAATTGTTGTCCTTGTTATTCTCACATCTCAAGGAAAAGTTATGTTTCTTCTCTGTGCCACCGTGATCACGTTTTTCTGCTATAATAAGCAATATAAATATATTTTAACTTAACATTTTATTAAAAATACCTTTACAAACCTCTTTTACTTGCTAGCGTACATTTTTGTTTATTTTTACATTTGGCATTTCTCCTCTTTTTCGCAAAAACAATCGATAAAACTAGGATGGACACCGAAAAGTTATCGGTTAAATCTGAGATTATTTTATAATTACAGATTAACAAGGGACGAATATTATATGGCTAATCTCTCTTGTTATAATTACAGATTAGGGTGTTAAGCTTGAAAATGAGGATAATCTACTTATATGTGAACCTAGTATAAAGCTCGTAAATTTACGAGCCTCGTAAAAGAACAGTCAAAATTTTTATGGTGTTCTATTTAAGAGCCCCTCTTAAATTTACGAGGCAAATTTGATACGCAAACGATCTCGTAAATTTCAGTGTTGCGGAGGGACCGAAATTTTTATACTAAAATGTATGATAAAATAATTGAAAAAATAATACACGAATAAAATGAATGAATTTCATCCACTAACTGTATTGACTTAGGTTTTCTGCTAATTCCCGGCATTTTTAATTGTATCTTAGCTAAGAGACCAGATGGCGGGATGTTATGAAAATACTACGAAACAAAAATTGCTTCACATAATCCTGGTTGACTTGTCAAACAGTCACCTTACGCACCTATTTACACCATTTCACAAAAGGGGCCTTTCCCATAAAAGCCTCGTAAACTTACGAGTTTTACACGGTTTAAGACTTTACGAGTTCAAGGGAATCCCCTATTAGAGTAAAGAGTGCATTAAGTGATTTATGTGGAACGAAAAAAGTGTATCAAAGTCGAAGCTTTGGCATTGGACACATGGCTATACAAATTAACTAAGTAGCCGCGCACCAGCTTAACGAAGTTTACACACGTTTATTATTACAGTTACTATAAGGACTATAATCTGCGAATTTTTACAAATGAGACTTTTAGCCCTTGAAAAAATTTGTTAATTTTCAAATTAATTAAAAAAATAAACACTTGTATTCTTCATTTGGACGGTTGTCATTGGCTTTGGTCAGAAACAAATTATTCTAGTGGCAACCCTGCGTGGTATATATATATTTTGAAAAGGCTGTCATGGTGAACTTGCGAAACGTAGCCATGATTAACGTGGAGAAAAATTGCTATATAAAAAACTCTTTTTAACTAATTTAAGAACAAATTAGATCTCTCATTAACACGAAACAATAAATTGTGTGTGCATTAAACTTATTTTAATAAAAATTTGTAGAATTTATTAGCATTTCTCATCACAACTGGATAAGAAAATAAGTTTGTTGTTTTTGGGACAAACTTGACGAAAGCTTTTTGCAATACGTTTCCATTATCCAATTCAAAAAACTCATCATATTCTAGATATAGAGATACTTACCATTTTATCACTAGAAAAAATAATTTATCTTTAACCAGACAATTCATTTATTACAAAGAAATTGATAATTGTAAAACAAACGCAAACAACAAACACAGCTCGGTCGTTAGCTTCACAGAGATAAATAAACACATCCAGAGAGCAAGTATGCAAATGTCAAAGTCTCACATTTCTTAAAAAAAAACCATGGCACAATGAAAAAAGATCAAGAGCCGGAGTAGGTGAAACTAGTGGAAATTGACGATTTTTGAAATGCAAGCGAGCAATGCGATTCACAAACATTCTTTAATATTTGCGCACGCATATAATCCGTAAATTATACCTACAAGTGGCAATTATAGAATACTTCGGTGAAATACAAAGCTAATTAAATATATTCTTGGATCTGCACGGGGCCACTGCCACCGCCGTAAACGTAAGTATGACTGTCATCGTCCATATGCAGTAAAGTTTCCTCGGTTACATTTTCGGTAACTGCACTCTCCTCCATTATTTGAGCCTGCTCATATTGCGATGAAACCACAGCTTCTGACGCATTTGCTTTCTGTTGAACAATTCTACGACGGCCCAAGTTTCCAAGGCAGCCTTCAAAAAGAATTTCAGAAATCGCTTTTCGCGCATATATCCGCTGTTCGTGAGACATTTCTTCGTACTGTATGGCCCACGACTTGGCTAATATCTCTGAGGCTTCACTTATAGGACGGCTGGATCGAGATTGTCGTTCATGGCGTAGTTTTGCGTCTGACTTTACTTTTGATGGTGTTTTCGTAATTTTTCTTGTCGTTATCGTTATTGGTTGCTCTGAAAATTGCGGTGGCGTAGATTCTCTGCATGTTGAAAGTACATCCTTGTTGCATAAACTATGTTCTACTAGTTCAAGCTCTTCTAGGGCATCGTCATGCGGCTGAGATGAATCGTCGGTATTGATAATCTCGTGGAAATTCTCGGCATCCGATTCTCCTTCTATTGTAGATTTTATGTTCTGCTGATTTTGGCTTGCAAACGATAATGTATGAAATTGATTTTGGAATTGTTGTTGAAATGAATTCTCATCTGCGTACTGGACTGCTTCTAAATGTTCTTCTGACTCAGTTCCATTGTCTGATATGCATTCATATTTGCTAATTTGGCTCTTGTATTCACTAGAGTTATCTGGCAATGCTTGGGATGAATCCGAGACCTGCAACCTCGAAGTCTCATTGTCAGATTGGGATGGCATCATTTTGCTGCCAACGCGACGCTATTGCACACAAATAATACCAATAAAATGATTGAATTAATTGATGTTTAAAATAAATATTCTATTAAAATTTCTAAAGTCGTGATAGCAGCTCTCATGAAAAAATGCTCTATGATTCCAGTATTGAATCGCGAAATTGTTCTTGGGGTTGTATATTTATTTCTTCAAGAAAATTTAAACGGCTAACAAACAATAAAAAATATTTCTTGTTATTCTTCGTGAGAGCTACATTCCATCATACATGCTAAATTTTAAGCTTTAAACATACCAAAATTTTCTTTTCCTCATTTGGCAAACGTTTTCGATCCTTGCGAAACTCTTGTGTCTGCAGGAAATTGAGCATGTGAAAGTACCAAAGTGAAGTTGTATATCGTTTGCCCATCCGATAGCTCGTCTTGATCCGTGCACATTCCCGTCGATAATTGGTACGAAAAATGTTTATTTTGCGGAGCACATCTTCTCGACATGCATGCGGATCAATTTCGCGCATTTTCATAACCAACATCTCGTAGCCATGTGCCTTACTTTGTCTATCTTTGTACGATGGGTCATTAAGATCCCACAAAGATGGCAAACTTTCGTATAAGGCAAAAAATTCAGTCCAAAAAGCGCGTTTGCCTATCGTTTGTGCATGTTGGCGGGCGTTCGACATTTTGTTGCTTGAAACGGATTCGCGAAGAAAGGTAGAAAAACAACAACAAAAATACCGTGAATCGCTGCTGGCAGCGAAATAAAACCTCAATCACACACAATCAGCTTGTCCGTTCGGCTTGATGGCCCAATATCAACTGAGTCAAGCAAATCAAGCAATTTTTTTTCGTTTGCACTTTCTCTCTCTTACGACTGCCTAGTTTTGTTTTAATACTCTTTGTTATCGACTGAAAGCGTGTACATACAGTGCACGGACTTCACCACTTTATTGGTAGATCTTCCAACTTTTACGCTGTATTTTATTTTCGACCATTTTTACCAATAAAGGCTAAAGGTAGATTACCGATATTTTCCGGAAAGAAAGCACAGAGATTTAAATGAACGCGGTGCATGCACATTTTGCCATCGAACACACCTAAATTAGAAATTAACTCTGACCATCACAACCAATTTAAAAATGAAATTACATTTCTAACAGGTGTGTATGTAAATCTTTTTCGCTTGCGATACGTTTTTTGTGAGATACTGCAAATTTTAATAAAAAATGTTTGAAGGGGAGTTACATACATGTGTAATTATTTGAGCCCCTTTTTAAATTAATACAGGGCCAGAATTACAGCATCCGTAATAGAATCAACTTCTAACCGAAAATCTCTTTCAGATAATCTCAATGAGGTAACGGCATTTGATAGCGAGCTCGCTTTTTCAATTTAAAATATATTTAGGAGAAAACATCTGTCATTTTATTTTATTCGATTCGAATCGAGTTTTATTCGATCACGGATGCCGCGATTTGGGCTTAATGTCATGTATACGTTTTTTGTTGAATGCCTTATTGGCGTGAAATACATTTTTTTGTTCTTTAAAAAATAATACAATTTTTCTAACATTATAACATGAGTATAGAAACAAAAATTACAACAAATACTTCATTTTGAATTTAAAAACCCCCGAGGCAACAGTCCAGCTGCTCCGCTAACACCACCTTACATGAATTCCCCTTGATTTAATTAGTAACAACTATCTAAAAATCTACCAACTTGTACAATTTTTTGTATGTAAAATCTACTACTATTACTTTTTTCGGAGTCCGTGCACTGTGTACGTACATATGTATGCACATAGTGAGGGATGTTTACTGTAGATATGTATTTATATGTATATATGCACATACATATCGTTACCTTAATGCACCAAGGCCCTAACCAACACTTTTTTCAAAACTGCGTTTATCACAGATTTTGGTAGGATGTACTAAAATAAAAATTGCAATGTGCCACTTTTTAAAAGGCACTACCTGTTTTTGATACTATTTTTATAACGTTTTTTGCTTCTGTAGAATAAAAAATTTGTTGGCTAGGACCTTTGTAAATTAAGGTAACGGTATGTATGCATATTTACGGTATTTTATTAATTGCATATAAATTTAATTCAAATTTTAAAAGGAGAAAAGCTATCGGTTTTCCAACGAAGAGCGTTTAAGACGGTAATGCTCATGTGAAGTATTCAGGCAGATTCTGTACAGAAACTCCCCGGAAGTTTTTCTCTTTTCCCTTTCCTCCTATCATGAATAAAATTTCTCTGAGGATTTTTTATATTAAATGGCGGAGTGGAGCTGTCAAAAAAGTGTCAACCAACTCTTTCCAAGTTCAAATTTCCTCCTCCCAAATTTTCGGAGAAAATGCTACTCTCTGGGAGTTAATTATTGGAGGTTTTCTTTTCCGGGAGAAACAAATTCCCAGAGAACTAACTCTCCGGGAGTATTCAGAATGGGGCTGATTAATCCCTAATATTTACATACCTAGGTGCAAATGTTTGTATGAATATATGTACATATCCTCACCTGAAATGCAAAATAACGTAACAACATCGCCATTAAAATGGAAAAAGTCGTTACTAATTTTTTTTTTTTCATAAAAAGATGTGGGGAGTTGTAATTTGATGAAATCCATCATAGCAATCAAAAAGTGAATATTGAATTGTTTAATAAGTTACGATTTTTTGCATTTCAGGTGACTATATGTATGTGTGTACTTACATGTATCATACATATGTCTTCTTTGTAATCATCTCATATGTTAACGGTCTTTTTCCTCCTTTTTTGGTCTCGCACCAGAGTTGTCTAGGTCACTGGAGAAACAGTTGAAGTCTTTTTACGTCCGTTAGCATGGCATGTAACGTCGTAAAGAAGCACGTAAATGGTAACCGTAAGACGCACAGGAATTGCCGAGACACTGTGCTACTTGAAGACAGCGAAAAATCTCTCGTTCGTCCTTGAGTAAAACAAATTATCTGAGTCGATGGCGGTTTGTTATCGATCCTCTAAACTAAACAGAAATAAGGCAAAGACATGAAAACATTGGTAGCTATGCAAGACCGTTATTCTTAAACTATGTAGCGTCTATATGTTCGCCGGAGATTAGTAGGACGTAGTGGACGACTAGCTAGATCTGTCAGAATGCTGATCGTAGAGACTTCGGTGGCCTAAACCGTGTTACATCGCCCGAAGCAAGAGCCCCTGGTCAGGTAAAACCCAAGTTATTCCAGTACGTAGAACCACAGCACCACCTTCACAACGAGGCTCCAGTGCTCCCAGTGAATGAGCACAAAACGATGAGAGCATCGTAAGCAGTTCCTAGTAGAGTGTCACAGACTTGGGCACCCAAGTAAACACCTGCTTGCTGCAGAGCCCTCGGTTATGCACGTCAGAAGGCATATATGCGAACTAACGGATGAAGTGCTGAGGCTAATACATTTTTAAAATAACCTCTGGACCCGACAGCTTACCTACAGGCCATAAACGGCATTCACAGGGATTCCCGACGCGTGAATGCCATTTTAGGAACATAACCGTCTGAAGTGGTCACGACAGAGCTTCGTCTGCCTGGGTAGACTCGGGAATTGGGCTAACTTCGCTCTGGGTACTGCAGCAGGCTTAGCTCGTAGCTGATCAGAATAAACGCAGATGTTCCCAAAGAGTGTCCGGCATGCGGAGAGTCATCTCATGACTCACGGCACCTCTTCGCGAGACCCCAAAACCACAATCAACTAACGCATCTATCACATGGACGAAAGTTGTTCACTTCCTGGGTATCCTGTAAGTTGAAATTGATGACAAAGATTGAGGCAAGTTGAGTAGCCGCTACAACAACAACAACTATAACTTTTTATGCAGAATAAAAATAGCCAATAACCATAAAATCTTAATAGCGCTGCAGCAATTCGGAATTTTGTACATACCTTAACCAGTTTTAGTCCCTCATAATTCCATTGCCTAGGTTTTCAATAGTAATTTTTAACATCGTCGTGTAATTACGCCCATTAACTTGCCGTTTTATACATACATACATATGAATGTATTTATGTTGTTGTTGTTGTTGTAGCAGCATACAAATTCCCCAAAGACTTTTTGGGGAGTGTTGCTGGAGTGACAGTCCTTGGCCAGATATAAATCTGGGTCGTTCCGGTTACGTAGACCCGACTGTCGTGTAGTCAGTTTCAGTTAATTCTCCAATATTATCTAGTTGGGGACTAGTCAGGACTAGTCGAAATAAGGATATGTTCAAGGCAATGACAGTATCATTTTTTGTATGTTTTTTGATAGGCTTATTTAGAACTGCTCGCAAGCTAACGTTTCGGTAAAATTTTAACCAATTACTCACGTGTAAAGTTTAGGAAGACATGTAACTTGTTAATGTACAGTATCTATAACTTATGTATGTATACATATCATAAATCACTTAAGTACAAATTTTCATTTGCTCTCTTTGAAGTCGACAGCGACGTCAGCAGTGACTGCGGCAGCTATTATTGTATTGCATTTATATGAACGATTATGTGTGTTTTTCGGACTTGCTTTTCATAAGAGTCGTGTGTACTCTCTATTTCCATATTGACTCATGCTCGACGAAAATTTGGAATTCCGTTGATTTTTCTAAAGAATACACATGTATGTATATGTATGTCTTTCGAAGAGTACATATTAGACTTAATTGACTTGACTTAGCTTCTTGCCTTCCCGGCATAGGGAACATACTAACCCTATAGTAAGCAGTCGTATAAACATGCCGCCATTCCATAAGGCTTGTTATCCACATAAAATCAGTATTGAATTCATTTTTTTTTTGTTAATGCAGCCAGAATTTTATTTTTATGATAAGTAGCCTGGAAAGTACTTCTATAAACTTGCGCTTTTCTCCTGAAATCAATTTAGTGTAATTTAAACTGTATATTTGTTCCTTAATAAGCTTCGGCGGATTGCTATTGAATGTCTATGGGCAAAAGAGCTCATGCATATGTGTTTGTATTCATACATACAGCAGTATATATGTAAATATGTATGTACATATGTACATACATCCATATACCCAAATTTAGAAGTGAGAGCAAAGAAGAAGGCCTTTTGTAATGGTTCCCCTGATTCCTGAGAGGCCTTAACTTTTATTATTGCTTATCTTTGTTGTTTTCGAATTGTAATGGCGCTGCAATAATAAATTGTCCAACGTCATTTAGCGACTTCCACGAGGCCATGTATCAAGTAAACTGCAGTTGGATGAAGTTATCAACAATTTGCCATCAAAACAGCATACCTATACCAACGATTGCAATGCACATCTCTACCCTTGCTTGCTAACTCTACCCCCCGGTAATTGTGCCCTTGCTTGCAATGAATTTTCGCAGCTTCTGCTACATAGGGCCTCGGTAGACTCGTGTTTAAGTAAATTTATTTGCATGCATATATGTACACACATACATACGTACATATGTACGTAGGTAAATTCGAGTCTGCAATCAATCTTATGTGCATCTATATATGCAATTGCTCTAGCATATGCCTATAAATGTGGAGACACACATATGTATGTATAACTGCATGTGCATATGCATATTTTTAGTTCGACAAAGCTTGTGTTCGGACCGAGTGTTCCTCTAGCGTTGCCTCGACTCGGTCAACAGAGGCCTTTTTTCACTCTACGCTCTGTACACGCTCGGTAGGTATACCCACAGCAAATACTATGTAACTCTGAATTCAAGTACGCCTATTTTTGTTTTTTTTTTTCTGTATACCACTGCTGTCTTTTGCTCGTTCGCTTTTGACTGTCTCGGTCGAGCTCTGCACCCGAGGCTTGGACTCACTCAGCTGTCACATTGTCGTTATACGCGTTGTACGTTTCACTGGCTGGTCTTTATTGGCGTATTAGTGTCGGTTGCTCTTCGGCCAACAAAATCCATATACTGCATTGCTCTGCTTGGAGCTTGTTCGGTCGGCTGTTTTGTACATTGCGCTCAGTCGTTTGCCGGGTTCCTTGTAAATTTCACGTGCGTGGTCTCGTTTTGCAATAGTTTGCCGGTGTTTTTGCGTTACCTCGTTTAGTGGTGTTTTATGTTGTTGGTTTCTCCGTGTGTTTGCCATCCATTTGGTTTTTAAGTATTGTGTGAGTTTGTTGTGGCTTTGCATTTGCTTTGGCTAGACGACGGTAAGTATGGGGGTACATACTATGTATTATAAATATAAAACTTTTGCATGCAACGGAGTCATGCACACTTCTGGATGTGTATGTGTGTGTGTGTGTTTCTGTTGGAGAGAATATTTATTGTTATTATTTTCGTTATGTCTGATTTTTATTCATTCACTTTTGTTTATTCTTTGTACTTTAACACGTAGCTTTACTAATTTTGAGTTGGTTGGGAGAAACCAATACAGCGCCAGTGGATCTACACACCCCGCCTTGGGGTTTTGAAAGTTTTTGAGGGACCGATATGAAAAATGTAAGTACAAACATATGTAGATATACGCTGTAGTTTTTAATTTTTAAATTTTTTTTATAATGTTTTCTACGAACGGGAAGACGCTATAGGCAGTTAAAAGCGGGTTTACGTAAGTCTGACATGCTATTAGCAGAAGTACTTATATATGTACACACATACACACGCTCACTCCATTATATCTGCGTATACCTTGTTTTTTTTTTAATATTCACAATGTTTTGCATGCTATCATTTTTTTGTTATTTTTGCTATATAAAAACCCATATAAATCAAAGATTCAAACCGTATACAAAATTAAGGGAAATTTAAGGAATTTTCATAAAAAATTTAAACATTTCACTCATATTAAAAAAAAAATATTGCTGGTACGGACTTCTTTACTCCAATTTTTAATTTTTTTTTTAATTGCTGATATGCAGTTTTATAGCCCAATCAATTTTATGTAGCTAAGAAATTGCGTTGTTTTTTAATGATTTGTTTGCTGACGGATCTAGGCATTTTTCTCCATACAAGGTATGCGCGATTTTTTTTTTTATATGGAAGAAAATTCGTAGAGCCGTCAGCAAAGAAATTTTAAAAAATCAACGCTATTTCTTCATCCATTTAAAATTTGTACATTGTTATACTACATGAAATTGATTGGCTAAAAAACTGCATATCAGCAATTAAAAAAAAATCTGAATAAAAAGTTTAAAATTTTGATGAAAATTCATAAATTTTTTCTTCGTTTTGTATACAGTTTGAAACTCTGATTTATATTTTCATATTTTTGTACAAAAAAAAATTAAATTATAGCTTGCACAAAACTGAATATTAAAAAAAATAATACGCAGTTATAATGGAGTGAGTGTATCTTCACAAATAGGTGCTAGGTGTGTCAGTAATAAAATAAAAAAGAAAACAAGTATTGTATCAAGACATCGCAATAAACAGGTGAAGTCATAAAAAAAGCAAACTTTAAAGGCAAATTTTCAAATAAGGCAGTGTCAAATTCTTTCCTCTCGCTCTAATTACTTCACCTGATATAATTCCGGCATGGTATCAAGATGTAGACAGAAGTCTTTATTCAAATTAGCCGTTAAACCCAGTGAACTTGTGCACAGTGGTATATTACCATTGTTCGCATAACGGTTTATTGTGATAAAGAATCGTGATTGAAGAGAGAAATCAATTAAGCCAACCCTTGTCCGTCCGTCCGTCCGTGCACTCGATAACTCGAACTAACGAAGTTTTTGAAAAGTTCAAAAACTGCGGTAATTCAAATTTTGGTGGTCGTCGTGCGGACCACTTACTACACACATACATATACAGCTATGGTCAAAGATTTAGCGCAAAATTCAAATTGATATTATTTGCAACTCACGTTTATTTATTTTTAATAATTTTTGTTGGAAATATAATTTTTATTTTTAATAATTTTTATTAAAAAGAAAGTTCAATCTCAAACCGCAACTACACAAATAAAATCTTCAAAGCTTGCACAAATTTCATAAAAATTTATCAAACTTAAAAAAATTGTCTTCAAAATTTTTAATCAGAATTTTTAGGGTATTCAGTTTGTTGCCTATACAATTTTGGTCTAATAAAGTGCAACTTACAAGCAGCGAAAAATTACCATTGATTTTTTAGAATTTTTTTTATGTCGAAAGTGTTGCGCACTTTCTTCCATGAAATGCATGAGTAAAATTTCTTAATTTTTTTTATATAATTCTTGGTCTCGGCTACGTCTGATAACAATTTTTACTCTTCTTATGATGAAATTCCTCAAATTACACGATTTTTGAAGTTAGTACATATTCGTCTTTATATACAGTCAGCGTCGAAAATATGAATGCCCTGTCGTTTGGACCATTACCTTACGATACCATTTTTTTATAAAAATATAGTTCATTCAACAGCAAAAGCCAGCAGAATAAATTTTTTTCAATTTCATATAGAACTCGGAAATATCCAAGAAATACGAAAAAATTTGCAACTTTTCAATTCAATTTCTTAGAAAAACGTGTGTACATGCGTCTATTTTTATATGGAAGAATATGCGCAACACCCTCGCCAAAAAAAAAGTATCAAAAATCAACGGTCATTTTTAGAGACTTGAAACTTTCACTTTATTGCTACAGAACTGCATGCCCAAAATTTTTCTAAGAAATGGAATTGAAAAGTTGAAAAGTTTTATGAATATTTTTTGGTATTGCTTGAATTTTCCCCGAGTTCTATATGAAATTGAAAAAAATGATTTTGCTGGTTAACTATATATAAAAAAATAAGAAAAATTTCCTATGAAATAAGAAAAATTTCCTATGGAAAATATAAATAAAGAAACGTCAGGGTATTCATATTTTTGACGCTGACTGTATCTGGAATCGTCTTTTGGACACTTTATTGGTGGTTCAGGGCAATTCCATGGATTTCTCTGTGCAATTTATTGAATTTACCGATTTTTCGTGTTGTTTAACAAATGCTCCATGCAATGCAAGCTATGCAAGATGTACCCATTTGAAAATTGTGAATTGATAGTCGGGCAATTCCAGGGAATTCAAGAATTCTATGGGTTATACGTATGTAACTAGTTGACTACTTGATCCTGGTTGATGATTCCGCCATCCGATTTGAAGGAAAACAACTGTTCTGGAATGAAAAATTTAGAACTTAGTCTTTCCATCGCAGTGTGGGCCTCCCTTTTCCTCTACTACCACCAGCGGGTTCCGAGTTGAATACTTTCCGAGCTGGAGCGTCGGCGTCCGTTCGCATGGCGTGGCTAAGCCAGCGGAGCCGCTGTATTTTAATTCGCTGCACTATATCATTGTACAGCTCATACAGCTCATCATTCCGTCATCAAGGCCGTAAATCTTTCGCAAAATCTTTCGCTCGAATACTCTAAGAGACGCCTCATCGGATGTCCATTGTCCATGCTTCTGCGTTCAGTGATTTTCTGAATTATTGGACTCCTGTACATTATCTAAGGCGACCGCGTCGGCTTAGCAACGACGCTAACTGAAGCAACGCGCTGCTTAGTATCTTACGATGAAGTGGACTTTTTGTACGGAAAACGCAACATCGCGTGACTAAAACATTAATACATAAGGAAATATTAATAAGGACATACATTTATTTATAGGTTGACCCAAAATTTTGAATAATTTTCTTGTCAAGAATTCAATCGTTTAAAAAAATATTAGGGCAATTCATCTAAACGTGTAAATGCCTCGTAACCATGTAAACCTCATAATTTTACTTGATTTTTGTATCAGAATGTGTAAATTTTTATATCCATATATAAGTATAAACAGAATTAAATGACTGAGCGAATTTCGTCGGACAGAGCGAGGCGAATTGAAATACGCATCAGCTGAATAACAAATAAAAGATATACAAATACAAAAGCGATAAAACGAATCCCCAAATTTTCCCATTCTGCTTGTTCCTGATAATTATCTGCTAGAAATGTGAAGAAGCAAAGTTTTTTTTTCACTGACAGATGGTTTTGTGAACGGCGATAGCGGCAAAATTAAATATAAATCTATTCTCGCCGAATTTCTTCAGACGAACTTCGTCGCCGCTTTGTTTGTGTGCAGCCTGATGTACTGCAGTGTGTTTTAATTTTACCAGCGAACTTTCTTCCGACGTAATTCGCCCGGAGATGTGATTCTGTTTTGTACTTTAAACTTAATTATCATTGCGTAAAAAAATTTGCTTCTAAAATTGTTTTATTTATTCGTTTGACTTGGAATTTTCCAAGTACAGTGGTGGCCATATAATTAGGGACACTACTTCTTTACAAGGTTTTTTTTTATTTGTTTTTAATTAATTTTCGTTACATATAGTTTATGCCACAACGAAAACCGTGTTGGACAAAGTTTCAAATCAGAATCTCTAGAAAATATTAATGTTGCAGTTTTATAGCCCATTTCAGTATAATATTGTGTAAGTTTCAAGCGACTAAGATATCGCATCGATTTTTGAGAATTTTTTTCCATACAAAGTACGTTCAATCTTTTTTTATATGAGACAACTAAAATTTAATGGACTACAAAACTGCAAATCCGAATTTTTTTCTGGAAATCCTGATTAAAAATTTGAAATTTTGATGGGATTTTTTTTCTTAATTTTGCAAATTTTTATAAATCTTCTACAGGGGTTAATGCTTTGAGTTACAAAGTTTTTGTAAAAAAGGAAAAAATAAATGGTCAAAACTTGTAAATAGGTAGTTTCCCTAATTATGCGGCCACTACTGTATGTATGTACATATGAGGTCTTGAGAGCCAGAGTGGCCTAAGTGACATTTCCAAAAATTGAAGTTACAATGCATTACTAGAATCGAAACGGTGATGGCCCGAGGCACGCCCTTTTAGTTATCTTTTACTATTATTTGTAGCATCACGTAGGTGCAATGAACTGTTTAGTAAAATACTGCATTTATCTTTTATGGATCCTTCTTTCTCATGTTACTTACAAATTTGTTTTTGTATATGTATAGGCTCCTCTGGCCCTCATGTCCTCATATGTAAATACATATCGACACCTGAGTGGAAGATCGACCTACATATGTATCTCGGCAGCCAGTTCGAAAACTCCCTATCTCAGAAAACTTTTCAAGAACGCCCTACTTCAGAATTAGGTTCGAGAACGCCCTATCTTAGAATTCGATTCAAAAGCGTCCTATCTCACGTGAAAATATATTGAAAATTTGCTGAGGTAGGGCGTTTTTCAATCGGCAGCTGCTTCTTAAAGATTTGGCAAAAAGCATTTTAAAAATTCCGAGGTTACTTCTTCTTTCCAGAACGATGGCTAACGCGACACCAGCTGAGCGAATGCGAAAATTCAGACAAGAATTAAAGAGCAGACCCGAAGAATTCAAAAAGTACCTGCAGAAAGAACGAGAGCGTGACAAGAGAAGACGTGAATTGCGAAAAGAAAAAAAAATACGTTGTTACCAATTATCAAATGAAATGCGATGCAAGGAAGCTCAGAGAAAAAGGAACTATAGAGCAAGAATAAAACATCTTGCACAAGCAATGGATGATGAACTTTCGCCACCGTCGCCATCCTTAGGGTCATACAATTGTGCGCAGACGCTAGGCAAAGCAGTATGTAGAGTAAAATGAATCCTACCAACTAGTCCAAGCAAGAAACAAGAAATTGGCCGCTATAGCCAAACTTGTTTTGTTAAATTTAGGGAATGGATGTTCATTTAGTTTCCCCGTCCAACAAGAAAAGTGTTATGAAACATGCCTTATCTGAAAGGCATAAAGAAAATGTAGTTAGTTTTTATTTGCGTGCTGATATCAGTCGCCCGTCACCGGGTGCTAAGGACGTCGAATCTATTAAAAATAATAAAAAAACAGGAAAAAAGACTTTATGCCAAACACGATAGATGGAGTTCACTGTAAGAGAAGCCTATTCTCTCTTCACTAGCGATAATCCTGACATGAGTATACAAATTTCAAAGTTTTATGAGCTTCTCTCCTCCTACGTCTTGTTAATTAGCCAAATGCCCCATGATGTCTGCATATGCAATTACCACGCCAATTTTAACAATGAAAGTATAGCCGCCAAATTACCAGGGTTCCCTAATGCATGTAAGCTACATGCCCCGGAATTTCGGGGTTCAGTGGAGAGTGGTACTTCTTTGCAACCTCCCATGGCAAAGGGGTTGTGGATCGGGTTAAAAGGGCAGTGTAGATGCAAATTAAGCAGCAGAAGGCACAAATCAATAATGCCAAAGATTTCGTTTCATCTGCTCAATATTTATTAGGAAATATTAATGTGATAGAACTATCCGAATCAGAAATCAAATCAGTGAGACTAAAGCAATACTTAAAAGTAGGCGGCACTTTGCAATTGGCATTCCAAATGTCTAAAAGTCCTCTACTTCACAAGTGTCAACCAGGAACATCTAATACAACGCCTTACCTTTAAATCAAAACTAATAAAATGCAAAGCTGTTGTATGTATATTCTGAGGCAGATCAAAGTGAGTGAAGTCATACCTCCGACTGTGAACCCTTGGACTCTTTCATCAATAATCACTAACCGCTTTTATTTGTATCATATGGAAACCTCCGTTTTATAAAAGAACTCGCAGTAAAAATGTGAAATAAATTCGCAGACTTTCTGGCAAAAATGCACTTGCAAAAATCCAGTGCATTTTCTTTTTCTGTCCAGTCTGTGACATAGCTAATGACTCAGTATTTTCCGAAATAAAATAAAATAGACGTTTTTTCACTTCCTACATATTTACATTACCCTTTATGGCTAATGTTCAGGCTTGCATAGAATAATTTAATTTTTTTTTTTTTAAAATCCGTCACTTACAATTAGTGAAAATTTACTTAACATCTGTAGCTTACTCGCTAGTTTCAATCTTTCCTAATTACAAGTTGATTCCTACTTTTTTTAAATTTTTTTAGTGGCTTATCGGATTCTATAAAAAAAGTAGACGAACTGAATTTTGAAATAAAGCCAATAGATATGGTTCTATCAGATTCGATGAGGTAATTATGTATATCTTCCAATTAATTTGCCTAGCACAGTTTTTGAAAAAAAGCATTCACTTTTTAGAGTATGCGCATTTGTAGCCCAATCAATTTTATTATAATAAAGTGCAAGTTTTAAGTACTGTTGATTTTTGGCAATTTTTTTTCATGCAAATTTTTTTTTGAAAATACTTTATATGGAAAAAATGCAAAACACCTTCAACAAAAAAAATTCTGAAAAGTCCACGCGATTTATAACTAACTCCGAACTTGCATTTTTTTACTAGAATTTAATGGGCTGCAAAACTGCATACTCAACAAATTTTACAAATTTTCGCGAGTTTTGCACAAAGTTTAGGAATTAAATTTTTATGTTTTTGTTGTTGAATGAACCATATTTTTATAGAAAATTGGCGGAAAAATATTAGAATAAAAATTGTTGCATATATTGTGAAAAATTTGCTGTGCTAATACTTTGTTCCGGCAGTGTATGTAATAATCAATTAGAAAATCAAGGAGTAAAGCAAAATTTCGAACTGTTTTACTTGTTAATAACAACAATAAAAAGAACTGAAATAGAAATTTGGGATACTTTTCATCTGCGGAGCATAACAACTGCCATGACTAAGGGTGCGTTCACACAGAACGCCGATTGGCGCCGAGCAAAGCAAAGCGGAACAAAGCGAAGCTGGTAGTGTTCACACTGAACGAAGCGAAGCGGAGCTTTTCCCACGGACTATGCTGCAAAGATTCCACAAAACATACCGTCAATAAAAAGCGGCAAAAATATTTGCTAAATTTTATCCAAAAGATTTGTTATAAAATTCGTTTTTATTTGTATATTTTGTTATCTTGTTTGCAGCAGCGTCATGAAATATAAAAATTAAATAGAAAATTCAAAATCAAAAACTGCTTTGCTTTCAGCTCCAAAACGCGTATGAAAAAGCTTGCTGTATGCATGATTCAGGCTGAATTTCTTTATTCTTTCTGAACGTTTGGAATAATCTTTTTTGTTTACTTATTCTTTAGAACGTTCCTGATGATATGTTAACGTATATTTCAAACACATTCTGTTTTTTCTGGCTGTGAAATGAGATTATCCGGAATGTATAAAGAAACGTAGCCTCAATAATTAAAGGTTCACTCAGCTCGGAACGGCTTCGCTCGGCTCGGCTCCGCTTTGTGTGTGAACGTACCCTAACGCGCAGCGATGGCCGCCTTCGCATGAACCACTTTGTGTAGTACAAAGAGCAATATAGTGAAATCGTTCGTATTGGATCGTGCGTCCATGCTAACATACATGTTTTTTTTTTCATTTGATCTTCCATCTGATCTGATACACAGCAGCAACTTAAGATGATGAGTACGTAGCTGCTCACCACCTATTTCTGTTATTTACTCGTATCAATTTATTACTTTGGCTTCTCCTATTTGATACTTTTTTTAGTTAATTGCAAATTCAGCTACTCAAAGTGCACATGACTTGGCAATACATTTTTGTAGTACCTGCAGTAAAACTAACAAAAGCATATATGCTGGCATGAATAACGTTAGGAGCAGCCAACAAAATTGCCTAGTGGGTATTTGATATTAGACCAGACGCCACCACTATATATAAAAGCACAAGAAATAAAAAGAATATGGAAACATAATACTGTAAAAATACTTCCATTTCGATACCTGAGTGGAATATCGACCTATCTCGGCAGCCAATTCGAAAACGCCCTATCTCTGCAAACTTTTCAAGAACGCCTTAAATCAGACTTTGATTGAAGAACGGCTTAGGTTAGGTTAGGTAGGAAGGCGCATACGAATGACTTGTACCTCCACTCGGATGCAGATTTGCCCTTTATGAGTGCCAGGAGGAGGCTTATCCTTCCAACCGCGGTTAATCCATAATGTCAGTGTGAAACCATTTATTATCCCGGATGAGGTCGTGGATGCTCGATATTTTCGTCTACACTACCTCCTCCAAGCTATTGAAAAAGCGTGATCCCAAATACTTGGGACGCCTTATCTGTAGAGCTGGGCATTGACATAAAAGTGAAGTGAATCGATTCCTCTTCATCCTCATCCCGACAACTTCTGCAGAGGGAGCTTGTTGGTATACGCCATCAACGGAGCTTTGGTGCACGACTCTTTTTGAGTCTCGGTGACAGAGATGTTGAGTCCTCACAGTCTTCCCGATTGATCCAAAGGTCATTGGTCACTGCTGTGGTGCATTCTTCAGTCCCCTTAGCTGAAAAGAGATCGGTGGCAGTAGGAAATTGTCCGCTTCGATAATTTGCCAGGAATCCATCAGAGAGAGGTTTTGACGAGACTCAGTGAAGCCAGCGTTGAACGACATTTCCGAAATGCTTTCGACTTTACCACCCTGGAGCCGGATGCTTTCACAATGCCGCCTGGCTGTCAACGAATATAGTGACGTTCCCTGACAGAGACTTACTATATCGTATAAGACAAGTCGCCTTCTCTATGGCAAATATCTCCGCCTGCAGTTATGATTGCCTTATTCGAAGGTCCTAGGAGTACAAACCCGAGCCGATTGCTTTTTCCATCTTTGAGCCATTGGCGTAGATGGAAATACCATCACCACCTTCCCAATATTTCCGGGTTGTAAAGTGTATGCGAATCTTAAAAACGCCCTATCTCAGCACATTTTCAATGTATTTTCAGCTGAGATCGTACGTTTTAGAACCGAATTCTGAAATAGGGCGTTCTTCAATCATATTCTGAAGTAGGACCTTTTTGAAAAGTTTTATAATATTTTGGCGCTAACACTTTTGCTGAGTGATAGGCCGAGCTTCTCCTCCAATTTGTGTTGCGTGTCCTGATGTTGTTAAACAAATGGAAGCACCTACAGTTTTACGCCGCTTCTGAACGGCAAATGGATTTGTATGAGAAGCTTTTTCATGGCAGAAACACACTTGGAGGTTTGCCATTGCCTGTCGAGGGACGACCGCTGTTAGAAAATAACATTTCTAATTTAGATGTTGCTCGGTCTAGGGATCGAACTCAGGCCCTACAGAGTAATAGTACGTACCTCTAACCATTCAGCTACAGCGGTCGGCTAAGGCTAATATTAAGAGCAATACAAATT